ATTATGTAGGTGTCATGTCAGTCTTATGCACACCCCTTCAAGTAACATGTAACCCAATATTTCACTAAGTAGACTATGCTGCAAAAATCCTTTTCTGAACTCATATTTTTGTCTATTTTTTTTTTTTTTTTTTTACATATACAGCTTTAAACTCTTTGTCTAGGCCAACCGCAGACATCACTTCCTCCTGTGCTTTGAATTCTCCTGGCTGCACAATTAAGCATTGCACTTAAGCCTTGCTGATGGGCAGCATATTGATTTCCTTTCCCCCCCTCTGACATCTCGTGAGCTCAGACCAATGGCTTAATTCTACACAAATCCCAGTGTTTTCACACCAAGTAAAACATGTCGTTCATAAGTAATGGAGAAGGTCTTGTTTTCCTCACACCAGCAGAGGGATAGAGGCATTTAGCTGAATGACAAATATTTTTAAGGAGAGCACTAATTGATTCACAGGACATTTGAGATAAAACAGCTACTGTACATACTGTACAGCTCTGTTATGAAAGACTAGTACCTTGATTTGTAACTGAATCTTGGCCAAATTAAACTTTGGTTATGAATTGATTGAATTTAAAGTATAAGCGCTATAGTCACTATATAGTAAAAACAGTATTTGCACTTCACAGTGATTGTGGCTTGAATGTATTTTACTTTTTGTTAGTAGCTGTTAGCCTTTTTAAGGGTAAGCTGATGTAGTTTAACTACTTTAAAGTGGAAATGAAGCAGTCAAGTTAACATCAATTACTAAATGGATGTCCAGTCTATTCAACACTTTTACAAACACGACAAATGTAAACTTTAAAAAGATAAAAATATCCTGCTTTTATAGCAGCGTTGCTACCATCTTGCAGTACTATAACCTGTTGTGTCACAGGGTTGCTTTCTTACCATTCACATTTAATATGAACACAATTTGTGCTTGTTAGACAAGGTGAGGAAATCAAATTTATTTGTACAGAGCCCTAGACATAACTTGCAGGGGAAAAATGAAAGATATTGTGGCCATGAATTTAGAATTCATTCCTACAACTTATTTAGCTATTCCCTCTTTTTTTATTGTGGCCATGTTGTACTAATTAATTTCTTAATTTTAATTTAACGAGGGAATTAATTAATGAAATGTGGCCAAAATGTTTTTCCCTTTGCAAATACAATTATCAGCATAAAAACAGAGGTATGTTCTTGTTTTACTTTAACAGCACCAGTACTCCTCCTGGATACATTTACTTACATCTGACTAGTGACCTAGAAATACAGCAGAATCTATATATCTATATATATATACATATACAATAGATTAATGAGACCAAAGACTGCCCGTTAGATTTACCCAAAA